ATATAACAGGTAAGATGTTAATTGTTCATCATGTCAAAACTATCATTTTCAAAACATCAGCAATAAAAATTTGCAAACATAAGTCATTTGTCCAACAATTTTTCCATCAGGTCATCTGGACAGTTTCTTTCTTTTTTTTTGCTGCAACGTTTCACCTTCGATCCGGAAGTTTTTATCAGTCAAGGAAACACACTTTGTTGTTTTTAACCAGTTTGACAAGACTGTCAACAAGGAAGAGGGCCTGCAATGGAGGTGTGGCGTACCAAAGAGACCATCTTATCACAAGCAGAACTGGTTTGTTCCACTTTTGGAGTAAGCTGTTGGGGGAAGAATCAGTTTTGTTGTGTGTTTCCTTGACTGATGAAGCCTTCTGGATCGAAGGCAAAACATTTCAGCACAAGAAAAAGAAACTGTCCAGATGACCTGACTGAAAAATGTTGGATTTTATACCTGGATATATTGAGCATGGACTTTTTTATAAGTCATTTGTGTTTTTGCTTGGATTAATTTTTAGAATTTAATATTTTGGGAAGTATAAAGAGAAAATAAATCCCCTAAATTTCATTATTATTTTAAATTCAAATACTTTGTTGGATAAATATATATCCTATATCTATTTACTCAGATAATCCACTCTGAGGGCATGAGGTTTTCAACCAGTTTTATTTGCAGACTCAACAAAAACAGACTACATACACAGATAGACAATTCATGTATCATGTCACTGAATGAGCATCAGCATTTGCTGCAGACTTTTTTTTTTTTTCATTCAACCTTTGTTTAAACAGTTTAGTCCCATTAAGCCTCGGGGACTCGTTTTCAAGAGAGACCTGAAATACATTTTATATTATACATTTTACATTTTATACAGCAGCAGAGTCCAGCAGGCGTTCCCTCATGGCCAGCAGCATAGACAGGATCCATGGCTGTCGGCCAGTTGACCTCTAGCTGAAGATAAGAGAATGTTTTGGGCATGTTCTCATGGCGTCAACATCAGTGAGGCACTGTGAATCGACGAGCTGGCCTTCAGGCCGAGACGAGAATGTTTTGTGCACACATTAAAGAAAGATGTTCTCATTCATAATATAATAAAAAGATTCATATTAATAAATTCTCAAACATACTTCACATCCAATATATCTATTTTAAATTGTAACGATGGGGGGACGTGTATTTGAATCAGGTAACACCATTTGGTTACATGTTGCCTATATCGTAACAGTTTAATATACTGTTATGCAAAACTGGCTGAATTTCCAGCTACAAGCTAAAAGGCAATTTCCATATGGAAGAAAAAGCTTGAAACAAATCAAGCGTTGCACCGACAACTGGATAAATATTTAGATTTAAAGTCACGTGATTGTGTGGTGCCTCCTCCTGACCGACAGGGGGCGGGCCTGCACAGTGTCAGCTCAGCGACCCGGATGTTGACGGATGTACATCTTTCTTCAGCCGCCATCACGTTTCCAGAAGTCTCCGCGCCTCGAACTTTTCCCTCACTCTTGGAAACGAGGTCCCCATCCGCGCTAAACTCATGGCAGCCGAACGGCAAGTTGTTAAATCTTGAAACGGGTTTAGTTTAATTTAGATAAAATGTTTCCTTTCAGCTCGTTAACGTTTAGCCTGTCTTGCTTTCGGTTTTAGCAGCTTCTCGGACATCTTCATTGACGAGGATCCTCAGAAAGCTCTGGAGGTAAACATATTGTTAGCTGGTTGTTTTTGTTCCCTTAAACTTAAATTATACGACTGAGTGTTTAATAACCTGTTCCCGAGATAAATTTGGTTTAATACTTTCAATGTTGACGCCGTTATAAAGTTGTCTAACATTTAGCGTCACGTTGCAAAAAGACTAGATTCAGAAATACACTTCTTGTTTTTATACTTTTCTCCATTCATTTCTGTTGAAACTTGTATTTATATTAATAAATAAGGTTAGCCTCTATTAACATGTTATGCCTAACGCAACGAAACTGAAAGCAGATTAATAACGTCATCCCTACATTTCATACACGTCCTGTTGATTCTAATGTATCATAAATTCATAAATAGGCTGCACTAAACGATATTTAGGCCGAACATTAGCCTTTCATAGACATCTAATAGCGTTTATAGATCACCAGATTACAACCAATGTTGTTAAAATGAATTTGATCTATTTAACCTCCAGTTACTTTTAATTTCTAAGTAATGCAGCTCGTGTGTGGAAATGGTACCAGAAACTGTAAGAGCCGTGTCATTCCTTTCAGGAACTTAATGGGGCTTTGCAGGAAGATTGTGAAAATGCTGAGTGGCTTTGTCAGCGTGCCTACGCCCACATACTCCTGCAAAACTACAGCGGTAAGTTCACACATCAGACATGTCAGCTGAATGCAAACCATGATCTCATGGGTTTAATTACTACAACCCCAGGGTGTAGTTAAAAATGTTGAGCACTACAGTGCAGCTGATTAAATATAAACTTGCAAATTTATTTATTTTTCTCCAGATGCCGCTGATGATGCCAAGAAAGCACAGCAGCTAAAGCCCAGCCTACCTTTAGCCTTTATGCGAACCGGGTATGTAACGTTAAATATAAAGCTGAAAAATTAGCACTGTATTAACATATTATTCTATTGTTGATGTGTATTTGTTTAGGGAACAGAAAATGTTTGTAATTTATTAAAATTTAGATGACACAAATGCACACATCTTTATTTTTAGGTCTTTCAACACTTAACTTTGAATTGATGCATATAAAAGCCGTCCCCCCAAAAAATTAAGGATGAGGAGGGAAGTGCTTTCATCCATTTTATCCATCAAGTACAACATCTGACTCATGGTGTCATTTTTTACAATAACAACCTGAACGTAAACACCAACACTAAACAAAAACCAACAGGAGCAATCCATTTGAACACAGAACCTCAAAAAGTTCACCCGTTTCTGTAATAAGATTCCCCAGCAAGTAATGCTGCTCACACAGTATCTTGTGTTAAAGTACAGAATCAGAATAAGCTTTATTATCATTGCACCAAGATACAACGAGAATATGTACGTACAGTCGTCCGAAAGATGGGCGGAGTGCACGAAGCTGCTGCTATAAAACACGGCCTTCATATCCTTTTCAGAATACATTTTTTAGATAGAAATTGGGACAAAGCCATGAGGAGAGGGTAGTGGCATTACAAAAAAGATCTCTTCACACCTCTAACAGGACATGCGTTATGACATAAAAAAACTGTCAGCCACACACATTTATGAACACGTTACATATGCATTTACTACAAGGTGGCCCGTGAAGCACTAAACAGATAGTCCATTGTCCTGATAAGATGATGGTCAGCCGGCACAGTTCTGATAAGCC